CCAAACTTGATTGCATGCAAAACATTCGTGCTGTTGAATGCAGAGATGCCATTCTGGTTGGCATCTTGCAAATACCTTTGAGGGGTAACTCAAGCATCCCTGGTCCAGGCAGGAGAGCCAGTGGAGGATGCAGCACAATGTGGTCATGTGGGGGACACTGCTTAGTACCTAGTATCCAATTTGTTGTCTTTACTTCTGTTTAATGGCTTTGAGGGTTTTGTGGTGGCTTTTAGTTTACCAAAAAAAAGTCCCAGTACACACTCACTCACTGTTTCCCACTAATATGTTGTCAGTAGTACTGGGTGTTTTCCCTCAGTGAATGCTTGGAAGGAGGCATGGCAGAATACTGCCAGTTGGAGCTGACCAGTAGTTTGGTCAGATTATCTAAAATATCTGAGTATTTTGGAAGGTTTTGTATTGAAATAATGCCTGGGAATGATTCAGTCCTATATGTAAAGGTATTTAACTCAAGTTTACCAGGTCTGGATGCTTACAGGTAGACAGAGCATTTTCTGTGTGAATGCTGGAGGCTGACACACTTCTTCACCAATAACTAGGGATTTTGTCTTGGTATAGTTTGCCAAAACCTTGCCATCTTCCCAGTGCTAGTCAATATACCACATTCAGTGCTTAGTGTTGCAGCCCTCAAGTATCAGTGGTTTATTTTATGGCTACTAGCTTGAGAGTTGCATTGCATGTTAATAATTTATTGCACTTACAGTAAATTAGCTTGGTAGTTTTCTTTTTATAGGAACTGTCTTGAATTGTTTGTTTTGTTTTTTTTCCTGAAAACACTGAATTCATGACCCTTTCATAGGTTAGACTGGCTTGGGAGTTTTGCTTTTAGGCATAGTAAAGCAGTTTTTGCTATTCTTAATCTATGCTTTTTGCATTGAATTTCCTTCCTCCTGATGTGTGTTAAAAGTTTGTCACTCTCACTTTACTTGTTGACCCACCTTGTACTCTGGGGCTCTTCTGAGTGAGTCTGTAGGTGGTGGAATCACAGTTTTGATTTTTTAATTTTATTTTTGAATGACTTTTATAGTGAGTAAATAATAACCTTTGTGAGAAAATAACCCCATCTGGTGCACTGACATATAAAAAGCTGCCACATTATTTGGATCCTAAACTGTGACCTCTCAGTTGCTGGGAGCTGGATTTGACAGCAGCTGACAATGAAGAATTGCCCTCCTGATACAGGCACCAATTTAGAGGAAGGGTGTTAGGGACTTGGTGTCAGCTAATGCACCCCATGATTATATAAATGTTATTAAAATATATATATATCTCACCCAGGTTTTTCAGGGGAGCTTACATGTATTTGTGTTAGCAGAAAATCTGGTTTTATTCTTCAGTGGTGCTTCTATTATTTAAAAGAGGAGGAAACCTGGCAGTGATCTGTGCAGAGCTTGGGAGCTCATAACAGGCTCTCCAACAATAATCTCCCCAGGAGTTCTGTGCTCCCCACTGGATGTTTTTCAAATTATTTTTGATTGCATGACTGCTGAGCCACCCGATGGCACTGCATATTAATGTCTTGTCCACTGCTTGCTGTGGGCAGCTGGGTTAAGAGCCTCTGCCCAAACAAGCTGGAGAAACAAACCAGAGAAATTTGGCACATTTCTAGATTTTGCATTCTAGATTGTTTCTTTAAAAGAATCCTAATAATTTTATTTATCATTGTCTAGGTCAGTATTAGAATGTCTTTGTTAGCATTAGTTTCATAACATCTGCAACTGATTTTAAAAGGGAACATATAGGAATATTCTGATTATTTAACCAGCTTTTAGTACCAAACACCTATAAAGTGGTCCCAAATAATTGC